CGGCTCAAATATTGAGTTATGACTCAGAATCAGCCTCCTGCTTTGTGAATGTGACTGGAAGCAGAAAGCTGTGACACTCTTCTCTATGTGCAGCTGTTCAATACATGTGGCCACAAATGTGCTTCTGTATGTGTGTGCATTCAAACAGATGTGTACGTGCAGTCTCTAACAATAAAGGAATAGGACTTACTTTCTCCCGTGGAATGCAAAGGTGAAAGTTTTTGAAACCATTTTATACAGCAGATGTCTGAAAAACAGACCACTTCAGTCATTTCATGATCATTTTCACCTCTGTTAACTAAAGACTTGAAGTCTTGAAATATAATTCATATGAACAATTTTTATGATGGTGTCATTTAATGTTATTAGAAATTAATAATTACAAATTATTTTTGTCATGTGGGTCTAAAATGACATGAATGTGAGTAAACCATGCATATCTGCACCATATCCTCCAAAGCACAAGTCACTTCAGCTTTAAAGGGTTAGTTCACCCAAAAATGAAAATTAGCTTGTGTTTTACTTACCCTCGAAGCATCCTAGGTGTATATGACTTTCTTCTTTCATTTTCATAATGAATTAATTCATAATAAAACGCGCCGCAGACGGCTCCGGGGGATGAATAAAGGCCCCTTGTCAAAAATATCCATATTTCAAATGTAATAAACACTTTTCTCTTAATTCCGCTGACTGTCATCCACTGAAGCAGTTCCGGCGGATGACGTAAGACGCGCGGCGTTGCGTGATTAGTGACGAATGCGGAGAGAAAACAAAACAAAACGCCGGTCACGAATTAGAAGTACAAACTTCTGTTACAAACAGAAAAATGTCGGAGGATTAATAAACCAAGAGGAGACTGGTTTTCCTTTGCTAAAGTAAGGAAACTTTGCTTCCTTTGCTCCTATTAAACAAACTCGCGAGACTAGCATATCTCAGAGGCGCGCGTGCTGGGCATACGTCATACGCCTTCTGCCGGAACTGCTTCAGTGTATGACAGTCAGCGGAAGTGAGAGAAAAGTGTTTATTATGTTTGAAATATGGATATGGTTTTCCTTTGCTAAAGTAAGGAAACTTTGCTTCCTTTGCTCCTATTAAACAAACTTGCGAGACTAGCATATCTCAGAGGCGCGCGCGCTGCACATACGTCATACGCCTTCCGCCGGATTGGATCCGCGTATGATAGATAACGGAAGTGAGAGAAAAGTGTTTATTACGTTTGAAATATGGATATTTTTCTGACAAAAACTCATGGATTCGCTACAGGGGGTCTTTATTCATCCCCCGGAGCCGTCTGCGGCACGTTTTATTATGAATGTGCGAGCTTTATTTGACGACTTGTGGACTGTTCAAATGCAACACCCGCTGAGTGCCATGAAACAACTTGAAAGATCAAAGACAATTTTTTATATAATTCCGACTGGATTCGTTTGAAAGAAGAAAGTCATATACACCTAGGATGAATCGAGGGTAAGTAAAACACAAGCTAATTTTCATTTTTGGGTGAACTAAACCTTTAATTAGTATGCACATGTAGTTCTGATGAGACATCGGCCGTAATTGCTTTGATCGCTTTACGTGAGGCCTCTAATGCGGGGCTGAAATAACGCAGACCTCACAAAGTCTTGAATCAATTAATCTATCATTTCAAGACTGTCACAGCAGTACAGCGCATTAATTAATCTCCAGAAAGCCTCAATGAATGATGTGTGTGTGTATGAGAAAGAGAGAGAGAAAGAAAGAAAGATAGACAGAAACAGATCGTGAGAGATAGGTGGCTGTTGAGTTTCATCTAAAAGCTGCCCACGTATGAGAGAAATTCAAACATACACACACCATCCCACACACACCAACATTGCATTCTCTATCTGCCAATACTCAATTAGTGTCAGCTGTCCAATCTCGACTGCTCTCGCATCCAAAAACACACACATATGCTATTACACACACACTCAGTGTCTATCTGTTCATCCAAGATTGTATGAGCAAACACACACACCCAAAGCACACACAGTTAATGGCCCATAACTACGAAAAACTAATTCAAATTCAAAGAAACTACAGAAAATGTGTCATATTCTTTGTTTAAATCTTCTACAATGGCAAATGTTAAAGTCTCCTAACTAGGGATAGTTCAACCAAAAATGAAAATTCTGTAATTAATTACTCACCCTCATGTCTTTCCAAACCAGCAAGACCTTCGTTCATCTTCGGATCACAAATTTGGATATTTTTGATGAAATCCGAGAGCTTTCTGACCCTCCATAGACAGCAATGCAACTGACACGTTCAAGGCCCAGAAAGGTAGTAAAGACCATTAAAATAGTCCATGTGACATCAGTGGTTCAACCTTAAAATTATGAAGCTCTCGTGAACGTGCGTTGAAGACTGACACAGAAGAGAAGAAATTGTTGAATAGTTATTTGTGTTTTCTTTGCACACAAAAAGTATTCTCGTAGCTTCATAAAATTAAAGTTGAACCACTGATGTCACATGGACTATTTTAACGATGTCCTAACTACCTTACTGGGTCTTAAACGTGTCAGTTGCATTGCTGTCTATGGAGGATCAGAAAGCTCTCGGACTTCATCAAAAATATTTTAATTTGTGTTCTGAAGATGAACGAAGGTCTTACGGGTTTGGAACGACATGAGGGTGAGTAATTAATATCAGAATTCTCATTTTTGATGAACTATCCCTTTAATTTGAGACTTTAAGTCGACATTAACTCTCCTTTATGTGCCCAAACATCTTTAAGCAAGTCATGAACACATTAATTATATCGTTGCAAAATGTAAACTGTATTATCACCCATCTCTGATCTATAATGCATAAAGTTATGCATATTATAAACATCAACATCAAGATTGTCTGTAAAGCTGCTCTGATACAATGTGAATTGTAGAAAGAGATATATAAATAAATTTGAATTGACTTGTTTGGTGGACCATTGGCAGACAAGGGGAGCGTTTCAAAAACAGTTAAACACACTCATTGGCTCTGTCAACTGATGTGCGCCAGCAGTCATGCGATGTGCTGCAGGAAGTGCATTAAGTCCACAAGGACGTACGGTGCTTTATTTGTCATTTTAGGTTTTGTAAGGGAGCTCAGAAAGATTTTTATGGGCTCCAGAACAGTTCTTTATCAGTCTGTGTGTCATTATGTCACCAAAAAAGTGTGGACTCACAGATGGACTGCACCTCTGGGACAGAATCGTTCCATTTGGTGCTGCTAGCGGCGCAGAAATTAAACATTTCACCTTTAAATCAAGACGACAGCATGCAGGAAACACACCAGAAATTATACACGAAAAGAAAGACTAGTTCAAGGAACCACACTGGTAATCTCTGGTGGATGGTTAATCCAGTCAAAAGGGTTAAATGGACAAAAATGTGCAAGAGACTGAGCATGTGTGACTGATTTGGTTCATTAGCTAGAGCAGGCAGCCTGCAGGAGTAATGCATATTTTACTCACACACACACTCATGCACACTTTGTGCCATCACTGCAGAATGGCTGTAATCTTTTTGCTATGCTATCCATTTAGCTAACACGCTAACCCCATTCCAGCAGTCCCCACACACCCTGACAGCATGCATCAGAGAGTATTTGAACCCAAAGACATGTTACTGCACCAGGACCGGAGCAGCACTAATGCAGCCAAGCTCTTCTCCTCATTCTGTGTCATTTATGTGAGTCCGTCCCTCTCTTTTTGTGCTAGTTCAATCTCCAGTTTGTGCAATTACAACATCTGGACTATAAGAAAAGCTGTATGTGGAGGTTTTGCTTATACATTGTGACCACAAGGATGATAAAACCTGATATCACCAACATTGCGGGGACAGTCGCCTTAATAAAAGGACTATATAATGTCTTAAAGAACATCTAAATATAATAACAAGGTTTCTGTAAGGGTTATGCTTGGACTTACTAAAATTAGCTCAATATAAAACAACAGAAGTCAATGAAAAGTCCTTGAGTGCATGCATATGCTGAGAGATGAAAACATGCTAAATTAGAAAAGTGACAAAGGTAAATCAACTGATGCAGACGACAATTATTACGGGAATATTATTTGGCACAATATCGTTTATCTCAGTACCTTTATAGTAGAATCAGCATCAGTTTATGAATGAGATCAATATGCATTCAGAGAACCGAACTAAATAGAAACGACACTCCAACATCAGAGATGGACAGAAAGAATTAAAGAAAGACAGACAGACAGAGAGATAAATATACAGATGGATAGCTAAAAGGACAGAAAGACAGAACAATAGACAGATAGAATGACTGATATACAGGTTGATAGAAAGACAGATATAGATAGCTATATAGACAGAATGACAGAATGATAGATAGATAGATAGATAGATAGATAGATAGATAGATAAGAGTGCTCTATGCCACATTGCCTTTATCACTGTGATAGATAGATAGATAGATAGATAGATAGATAGATAGATAAGAGTGCTCTATGCCACATTGCCTTTATCACTGTGGTGAACTTTTAAATCACTTTTTAATGAGCGATTCATCAAGTTCATCTGTATGTGTCTTCATAAAACTCTGCACTCTTTTTTAATTTTACAGTCCCATTTTCACTAGATTTGATCTATTACATTTTCAGGAATGCTGTACAAGCTCTCTCATCACACACACACACACACACACACACACACACACAGAGTGCGGAGGGCTGGCAGAGCTCAGCTGTGGTTTGTGAATGGGATATTACATGAAGTTGATGTTGCAGCCACGTTGACTTTGATATGAGACGACCACCTCTTTCTGTCTTTCTGCATCCTCTAGATCTATTTTAATCTTCTTCATACTTAATAATTGACCATTTTTTCTCCCAGTTTTCATTGTACTTTCTGTCTCACTTCCTTTAAGACTCTCGCACTTGTTCTCCTTTCTGTCTCCATCCCATCAAACAGTTCCTTGTTTTATCATCACATAACTCTTCCATGTGTGGTAGCAGAGCATGCCTGGAGTCTTACCTGCTGTAGAGTGAGCTGGAGTCCCGGGTTCAGCTGGAGGTTCAGGTCTGCAGAGGAACGAGACCGGCAACGCACAGACAGACAGCAAACCGAACTGGAGCTTGAGCACACCAAAGAGAGAGAGAGAGAGAGGGCGAGAGAGATATACAAGAGAGGGAAAAAGAGAGAGACAGAGCAGGACAGAGACGGAACACTGACTAGTTGGAGGTGAGATGAAGGGGAGAGAGAGAGTGTGAGAGGAAGATAAACGGACAGAGAGAGAGAAAGCGAGGGAGAGACAGAGAGAAGAGGAGGGGCTTAAATCGGAAAGGAGGGACCGTGCGATGCCGTAAGAAAAGCAGTGGGAATCAGTGAATGAATGAAGGACCGACTCAGTGAATGAATTACATAATAATTAAACGACCAATTAAATGACCAAATTATCTAATGAAGGAATGAACAAGGGAATAAACAAATGAGCTAAAAATAGACTTGAATAAACAAATGAATGAAATAATGAACAAATGACCTAATGAATGAATGAATGAATTACTAATAAATGACCCCCCCAAAAAAAACAAACAATTGACCTAATGAGCAAATGACTGAATGAAATAACATAATAAACAAACAACCAGGTAAATGACTAAATGAATAAATGAAAAAAATGAATGACCACATAAGATCTTGATCATCCAATAATAATGAATTACGAATGATTGACAAAATGAATATGGTAAAGAAACAACAAATTAATTAATTAACGAATAACTGTATTAATTAATATGTGAATTAATTAATGCACCCATGAACAAACAATTTAATATCTGAATAAATGAACAAACAAATAAACAAACAAGTTAATTCAAACAAAATATGATCAGATCAATCTAAAAGCAAAAGAACTTGTAAAGTCCCTTAAAGCGATAGTTCACCAAAAAATAAAACTGTCATTATTTACTCTCCAAGTTGTTCAGGTCCAAGTTGTTTGGACCCTAACATTAGGATTTTTTAGATGAACTATCAAGTGTCCTGCATGTTTTAACAATTTTCTCCTTATTAAAATACCATAGTAGCTGAATGCGTCTCCTACAGAGTTTCAGAAGAGATCTCAACAGTGTCTCAAACTGTGCTATTCATTCTTCAAGTTAAAAATTCTGCTATCCAAAGTCAAAGATTTCAATATGAACTCAAACCTAACTCTTCTAATTATTTCAAGATTAAATGATATGAGCACCATGCTATCCACATTAATCTAATAACTCCTTACTTTGTGTCTAAATTTTCTTCTCCTAAGGACTTAGGAGGAAAATTTAATACCTAAATGAGAAACAACTGAAAATGAAATCTCCTGAGATATGAAAGAACAATCCAGAAGGCTCTGAGCAAGCCCCCAGGAAAATTATTTTTTTGAGGAGGTGATGAAACAAGGATTAATCAACAGCACAAAAAAGACAAAAATTCGCTGAGCGTAGAAGAATGCTAGCAAACACGAGGGACGAATCCCCAGGAGGGGTACAGAGAGCAGCAAATGATTCCAAATCATAATAGCATGACCCAAAGGCACAAACACAATTATTTCTAAATTGTATAAAGCATAAACAAGAGGCTGAATGTGTGAGCGAGTTTCAGTCAGAAATAAATGTAATTTGTCTTCAAGCATGTACAGTGGGTACGGAAAGTATTCAGACCCCCTTAAATTTTTCACTCTTTGTTATACCGTTGCTGCCCGTTACAGTCCAGCAAATGTGCTCCAATGAGCCATACATCACTATCTGTTCTTATCAAAGTGGCAGTGGTGCCTGTATTCAAGAAATAATTCACCCAAAATTGAAAATTCTATCATCATTTACTATGTTGTCCCAAACCTGAACAACTTTCTTTTTTTCATGTAAAACATAAGAGGAAATTCTGAATAATGTTGGGCGTAGCTCTTTTCCAAACACTGAAGGATACAGTGACTGTCAGGCTATAAAACAACAACAATAAAAGCATCTTAAAAGTACCATAAAATAGTCCATATGACTTGTGCACTAAATTCCATGTCTTCTAAAGCCATATGATACATTTATTTGAGCAACTGCCCAGACTTGAATGAGAGTTCAAACAGCTGATATAAACATCACAGTAATCCACATGGCTCCAATTCATCAGTTAACATCTTGTGAAGTGAAAAGCTGCGTGTTTGTAATACATCATTATATCATTTTAACTTTAAACTGTCACTCCTGGTCAAAATACCAGTCCATATACCATAACGCATAATAACATTTCCTTAAGTGAAATAGTCCATCCCCTGCTGTTAAAATCCACCAACCTACTTGTTTAGAGCTGTTTGGACTGGTTTCGCTTGAAAAGGTGTTTTATCTGTGCATATTTCTCCCGATTCAAACGAGACAACGTTTTCATTGGATAAAGCAATATTATTGATAGAGGATTTGGTCTGAATTAAAAACATTTTATGATGGATTTGTTTCTTGCATACACACAGATTTTCACTTCACAAGATGTTAATTGATGGACTGGAGTTGTGTGGATTACTCGTCGATTATTGTGATGTTTTTATCAGCTGATTGGACTCTAGATCTGACGGCACCCATTCACTGCAGAGGATTCACTGATGAGCAAATGACACAATACTATATTTCTCCAAACCAGTTCCATTGAAGAAACAAACTTACCTGCATCTTTTAAATTTTCAGCACATTTTTATTTTTTGGGTGAAGTATTCCTTTAAGTGCACTAATTGACTGGAGAAGTCCAGCATACGTCACCACAGAGAACTCAAGGCATTTTTTTATTAAAAAATGAAGTAAAAATAAAAATGTAAATAATGAAACATGCATAAATGAATAATTCACGATAAAGTCAATAACATGCATTTAGAAAATACATATGGTAAGTTTTAGTTTCATGCCGATTTTAATATAATTTGCACTTCTGCATCACTAACTTGGTCGCAATAGGTTATAAAACACAACAACCAGTGCTGTTTGCCCTCACTGACATAAATTCTGGTACACTACATTTTCATGCATCACAATGACTTTTACATTTATTCTCTGAATAAAAAAGCAGCTTTTATCCAAAAACAATTTGAATACGTGCAAACGGCAGAGGGGACAACAAACAGAGCAGAGGTGAACTTGAGAACAGCATAGGCCTTAAGGACTCCTTGAATTATTAAAATGTATGTGAAGTGAGTGACATAATCAGCGAGTGCGTCAACTGATCACAGACAACATTGGCTTTTTTCTTCAGTGTTTTTGGTCATTTATTCTTGAGTGGAATGATTTGTGCTGGGTTACTGAGTTTCTTTGGTGTTTAAGAAAGCTTTTAGGTTGACAGCCAACACAGCTCCCAGGTCAGCTAAACACTAATGACGTTCAATATCACATCAAGCTGTTCTGCAATCAACCTTCAAGACACATCACAAATTTATACAAACCACAGTTAAAGTTTACCTTAGCTGTTTGGTAATACAAGGACTGAATCTCAATATTTACACACACATGTTTAGCTAATGGTACGCAAAAATATATTACTCAGCTGGTATTAAATGACAAGAAACCAACTCATCGGAAAACTTGATCTGGTGTAAAGAGTTTCAGATGTATAGACTCCATGTGAGGGATGTGTGCAGCCCTTTCTTCATGAATGATCCAGGAGAAAGCTGCAGATTTACCAGAATAACCTAGAAAAGCTCACTTTCGCCTTTCCTCAGTTTACTTTGGGATCTAGCAGGGAATTCGTTCATTTAATGCGCATTAAGCTGATCCCTAAATCCATTTAGACATGGAATAAAAGAGCAAATCATAATGAGCTCATCTCTTATCCAGTTCTCCACAAAACACTTCACCAGCATCTCCAGCAAATCCCGACTAGGGGCAGTTCAAAGCCTTCAACACATTTACTGCATCTGGAAATAAACTGCATGGAAGCTCACTTTCAGGGAATTATCAGGAAACATATGTAGAGAAATCCTGCAACAATCTTGCCTCATTTAAAGGGGTCATACACTCTAAAAAATGCTGGGTTAAATACAACCCAGTGCTGGGTAAAATAGGGACAAACCCAGCAATTGGGCTGTTTTGACCCAGCGGTTGGGTTACTACCCAGAAGGTTGGGTTAAACATTTAACCCAACCGCTGGGTCAAAACAGCCCAATTGCTGGGTTTGTCCCTATTTTACCCAGCACTGGG